ACCGCTCTGTGTGCTTTTAATTAATTTTCTCAAAAGGCTAAGCATTTTACAGTTCCCAATGCAACAGGATGATCAAGTAATCAAAGACCTACAACATACAGCTACCTTTGGAAGATCCTAGGACTTATGGTAGCTCTGGTTGGTATAGGCTTAACAGAAATTACTGGTGTCCTTTCCAGCTTACCATTGCTGATTTCAGGCAAATCAAATTTAGTGAAGTCCCACCACTGGAGCCGGTAGGTGGTGTTGGCAATGTTGCTGGCCACAGCTGACTGTCCATCCCCAATCACAGCACCTACAGAAAAAGGGGAAATCATTTGCAATTTAACCTTTAGAAGATTATTCAGAAGAGAGCTGGGGAGATAAAACCATAGAAAACCTTCCAAAATCCAATACATAAAACTCCAGATTCTTGAAAGAAACTTTTTTAACCGAAATGGCAACACCTTCTAAATAAGCCACAGAGCACAGGAAATTAACAGGAAAGCACCTCCCCGCAACACATTTATGAAAGAAAAGAAAGTTGATTGAGAGATAAGACTTGCCGAGACTCATGAGGCAGAAATCCTAATTTATTAGGTGCAATTTATTGGTGCAAATGCATTCTACTTACTGTTACTAGTGAAGCTGTATTTTCACAGACCAAAATTTTTTAGCACAGCTACAAAGGCAGACCAGACTATACACTAAGGAAAAGTGCTGCCCTGTCTAATCACACACATTTGTGAAAATAATCCCTGCTACTACTGTAAACTCCACTCAGAAGATACAGGTTGCCTACAATATTTGCCACACAGCAAGGACTATAATAAAATATTATGAAGGAGGACCTATGAGCTGGCCTCAGGGTTCTCCTCCCTTTGCTGCCCCGGGTGGCCCAACCTACAGCAGCCAGGGGCTGCCCTGACTCCAGGCAAAAGACATGACCTTTGCTAACCACCCAAGGATTTGGGCAACAGCCCAAAGCAGAGGCTAAGTAGAATACTTCAGAAACTAGCACAAAGAACTTAATTTTCCAGGCCGAAAGAACTGCAACTGGTAACTCAAATCGGCATACATTTGAGAAAGCTCATAGGCATTAAATGCAACCCCTAGGGAGACAAGTGGAGGGAAGAAACAGTTCTCCCATAGCAGTACTAGAGTCAAACATCTCATGCTATTTGCAGTCTCTCAGGCCTTCATATACGTGCAGCCCTTGTACTACACACACATGCTGGCACCCAGAGAAACTCAGCGTAATGGAATTTGATAAGGGAGAGCAAAACAAGATCATCCCCAAGCACAAATGAGGAAAAGCACAGCCTCCAGAGTCTATGCAGTCTGTATTTCAGTATCTCCACGCTGTCTCCAGTGGGAAGCACGCAGAAAAGTCAGTGGCTTCACTCTCCCAGAAGCGCTGTCTCAGGACTCTGCTGCCACAGTAGCAGTAGTGGCAGAGACATCACCTTGACAACTCTGTATCCAGCGTGAGGCACCTGAAAACACACACACACAGACACACAGACTAACAGGGTTCATGTTTTCTCAGCAAAATAAAGAACAAGGCGGGGCAGGGTAAAGTAGGGAAGCAAATTCTAGACTGGCGCTTATAAATAAAGAAAAAAAGACACCAAGAAGGCTGCTGCTAGTCCTCTTTTCATCGATAAGCTGTCTCGAGTCCTGATTTTTGGTTCCAGACAAAGCTCAGAAATATGCCAAGAGCAAGACTTCTGCGCAGCTAGCTTTACACTGTGTATTCAGCTGCACCAGGCCCCCAGCAACTGACAAACCTCCACCATGTGTCTGCTCAGCCCCTGTATCTGCCTCTGTCAGATGCACACATATCACTTGGAGAGCAGAATTAAGAACATTTCCATTGCTCTGACATACCCCCAAGGCCCTGTTCTCCACATCCCCCAAAACAAAGGTCTCCTCTGAACAAAAGATATGCACTGGAGAAAGCAGATTCAATGCATTAACGAAATTACATTTTGCAGCCAGAAGTGGAAGAAGGACAATTAAATTTTATGTTGCTCCATCTTTACAAGTCTCCTCACTGCAAGCCAGGGTTTGGTAAACAAGGGCAGCTCTTCTGCTGTCTTGCCTCCAGCCACCAGGTGGAGAACAGAAAACTAGCTTCTGCACAAATTCCAAGCAGTGGGAATTGCTTCAGGGAACCAGTAACTAACATCACTGACTAGGTTGCAACTGCCTTACTGGGCTGAGTCAGGCACAGAAACACTCTGCAAAGGCAGGCAACAGAAGTGCTACTTGGGGCACGTAATTCCAGAATATCGATCTTACTACAGATGAACGTTAAAAAGTCATCACCCATTTTGCAATGAAAACAACCTTCGTAGGCATAGCAAGTAATGTATGAACTGGTGAATAACACACCCTAGGAGAGTAATCATACATTCCCTCTGCCTCATCAAAGCCTAGCAAATTCACTAATTGCTCCACAAACAGCAAGTCATACAACTGTCGAACCTACTGCTACAAGTACCATATAAAAAGCTGTCAGCAAATTTTTTTGAATTTTTTTCTGTAAAGATTCTAGTCTTCTCATCTCTTACCCAGGGAACAAAGTTCACAGAGTGAAAGGTGCACTTTCAGGAGGATTTGGTCCATTTCTCAAAGGCTCCAAACCAGTGTGCCTAACACTCATGGCAAATCCGTGATCTACATGTATTTATTAGATTATTACCTCTTATACTAATTATGTAATTGAGAAGTGTCATTATTAAATTATATCTAGCTACATATAACAAAGTGGAATAACATTTGTATCAAGTCATGCCAGAAGCCTCCCACAGGCATGCATGCACTGTCCTACAGTAAAGATGATTAAAAGCACACAAACATTTCAGACATTCCATGTAGGGAGGAAAATACCCTCCCACTGTACAACTATGCTATCCTAACCTTCACTGTTCACTTTTTCTGTTGGTTGACAGGGAAGATTTGAGATCATGGGTGAAAACTTAAAATCCTCACTACAGAGCTTTTGTTCACCATGCAGCACGAGAACTCATTCTCAGCTGGCTTTTGCCCAGTCAGGGTTTCAGCCTAGGTGATAGCCGAAGAAGGTGATGTTGCCTCTGAAGTTCTAGCATAACCTGGAGGCAAACAACACACTTCAGCTTCTTAAATGTGGGCAGCAGCAGATGAGCTCTCACAAGCAGCAGTTCTCACCAAGCACTTGACTGTCTGTCCTGGTTTCTGCGTCTTCTGCTGTTTGATGGGATCACAGTAACTGCAGTGGGTACCCGAGGGTCTCGGGCTTGTCATCCCCATGAACAGAACAACCTTTCACTGCAGAGACGATGTAGATTTCAAAATGCTCAAATCCAAAGCGAAGGCCAATTGAAATGCAGTGAACATAGGTTTGATTGGCAGCTTTCTTGTGTCTGTCTGTCACTGCGTAATAAACACTGGGTGATGGCAGAACTGAAGATAATGCTTTCAGCATCCCCCCCCCTTCTCCCCCTACCGCCCCGATCTCCATCCACCTCCACTCAGCACATGACAAGGCAGGGGGAAAGGAGTCTTGACAAAGACTTAAAAAAAATTCCTCAGATCTTTTCTTATAGGCCACCTACACGTGACATATTTATCCGTCAGTCTCAATCCCCTCAGAGGGTCCAACTCATCTTGGCATGTGGAGAAACGAACCTTTGCCAGTCAGCTATTGCTCATTTACGAATCAAGCCATGCAAGTCTGAATTTAGACTGAAAGGAAAAAAAGCAGTGCAAAACCACTTTCCATGGCACTCCACCACTCTTTCAGTGAAGAGTAGCGTACTTCAAAACTACTACCATCAGACTCTCAGAGGAAGAGCTAATACTCTAGAGCTACACAGGCAAGGGGTACAAGTTTCAAGAACGTGGAATATCTACATATTATGGGAATTTCTTTCCCATGTATTTAACAAAAACCTGAGCTCTTTTTTTGTTTCTAGACTAGATCTTTTAAGTTTTTAGTGTCTGGTAGGTCCCCTCACTGTAAGAGAAAAATTTATTAAAATGCTTCCAGATAAGCTAGAGAAAGCTGGAGAAGTCCCTGAGCTAATTTGTGACTCAATGTGAGACAGCGATCAGGCCCTGGTATAAAATTTCCCCTTGATTAGTACTTGCACCTTTAAGCATGAGTACATTTGGAAAGTATTTACCTCATTATGAGCCCATTTGTAACTGTAGCTAATGATACTGAGGTTATCTTACACTTGAAGAAAGGATCTATCACAGCTGATGAGTTTTACCTTTACTAGTTCTCGATGTACTATAATCCAGGCTCCAGAAAGACCAAAACACAGGACAAGTCTATTTGACAAACCAAGGATAAAGCTCTTTGCTGGGAGACGACACCAGATTCTCTCAACCAGGTCTGACGCAATTTGAATTCAGTTGAAATGTGATTACTGACCTCTGAAGCCTAGTGGAGATGTACTGGGTTCTTGCACATTTCCGACCTTGAAGTATTTTATGGGGCAGCCTGGTTTTGGGGACTACCTTTGATCACAGCAAATATACTAAATCCTGAATATGAATTTGACAAGTCCCAGCAAACCTCTGTTCCAGACTACCACAAAGACACTGCCTTTGAAGCAACTGAGCTAACTATCTAAAACTGGGCTAAAGCTGTAGAAACAGTATGCATAGAAACCTGGTATTTTCAAGGATTTATTTTGCTTGGTTTTCAATGTATTGGCAGGCCATAAATCGGAGGTGGGCAAAATGATTTTCATGAATGAATGCACAAAATGTTACTAAGGGTTGTTCAGCATACGCTAAGAACCGAAACGATCTTAGATTAGATGTTAACTGAGAAAGCCTCAAAGAGGTCTATGCTCTCTGAAGGCTGAACCCTTCAAAAGGTTATTATTTTTCCTTTACCTCAGATATAAAAATAAGAAGAAATGCAATTTCCCATTCATGCTCACTCCTATTGCAAAATTCCCCTTTACAAGCGGCAATGCTTCTCATGCCGAGTTCCACAGTCCTATCAGCTATCGGAATCTGCACAGGCCTCAGCTGCAGGTAGTGAAGATGACCTTCCTAACAGGAGCTCGGTCAAGTGCCCCAGGGCTTTGCTCACATTGTGAATAAACCAAGCATCATATAGGAAAGGGAATTTTCCAGCCACAAGTTTCAGACTTCAAAAGAACACCAGTTTATTTTCAAGAAACACAATAAATGAACAGATGCCCTCCCAAAGCCTCCATTCCCAATACAGCCATGATGGCTCCTTGACATCTTATCTTCCCGACATTAGAGATCTTCCTGTCTGGTCATGTAACAACAGAGAAATGCATC